CACACCTGGGATCCATGAACCATCATGGGGAACACCTGGGACAAATTAAACATGGGAAAGGAACACCTGGGGAGCAAGACACAGACAAAACATGGAACAGAGTCTGACACTTGGCAACTAGTTGACAAAATAAGTTTATTTTTATTTAATTTCAGCGCATTTCATTTATTCATTCATTCTTTAATTTTTTATTTAATTTTAATTTAGATTTTTTTTTCTTTTAATGTTTTTTCTAGCTGTACTTTTGGGGAGAAAACACTTAAAGTGGAAGTGAAGTCAGTCAAGTTTACATTATTTAGGAAAACGATTTAAACTTTAATAAAAAAAATAATATATATATATATATATATATATAAAAAACACAATGAATGTAACCATTTTAAAGAAAAAAAGGATGTTTTGCTGCCAATTTGCAATCGTGTTTGTTATATATTTTTTTATTAAAGTGGAAATCAGTTTACTAAATAATGTAAACTTGACTGACTGCTTCATTTCCAATTTAAAAAGTAAAAGAGACTACTGTTTATTGATTCATATGAATGCTAAGTTATATTTGTTTAGGGTATAATAATTATTAATCATGTAATTAGGCATCAACAGAAGTCTGTGTTGACTGCACATGTAGTCAGTCAGATGAACGTGTGTTACCCGTGAATCGGCCACTTTGCTCAACCCCAGCTCCTGAATCAGTCTCTCAACCTTCTCATCTTTTTCTCGCTGACGGATCGACCTCGGGAGCCGTAAAGCTGCTGAGAAACGAAGATTCTCGCGAACGGTCAGCGTCCCCATGACCACGTCATCCTGCAAAATTCATTAATTCAGCATGTTTCATGTGTTTAAGACATGACGGAGCACTTTCTGAACACACGCGTTTAGTAAACGACGTCTAGGAAGGAAGCGGAGCGTCTCGCCACATGCTGGTGTGATTTGAGATTAGATTAAAGGTGACATATCATGAAAATCGGACTTTTCCAGGTTTTAAGTGCTATAATCAGGTCTCCGGTGCATCTACCATCCAAGGAAACGTGAAAAAGATGAACCCAGTCACTTTGTTTTGGGAAGCCTTTTTCTGCAAGCGTCTGAGAAAACGAGCGCGTCTGATTTCGCTCTCTTGGTGACGTGGCAAAGGGATCTCATTATAATATTACCGCCCCTTAATCTGCATGTTTCCACCCACGGCGCCGTCATTTGATTTCGCAAGCGACAGCGGTGTAGCAGCTCTAATGCAATGGAGAAAGTTTGAGCAAAACACACTAACTGTTCTGTGTTTGGCTGCACAGACGAGCACAGAACACTGTTTAGAGTCCCAGCCTCAGAGGAGACAACAGAGCAGTGCATTTATTGATTTATTTACTGTATATTGCTGCTGCCACACAGATCTAAAATATACATGTGATTTATTTCCCAGCTGTTTACCTTCACAGACATAACCCACTGTTTTTGTAACTCATGTGTGTTTTTAACGTAAACTTGTGTCTGAATGAGAACTTAGTTTAGTGCTCACATGCTGTGACAGCTGCTTTCTGTGCGTGTGCACTCAGAAAATCGTATATCAGTTTAAACTAATATTGTTTAAAACATTATTTCAGCGCGATAAACATGATAATTAGAATTGAAACATGTTTTTTTAGCAGATACGAGCTGTAATGGCGCAGCTCTATTCTGGAAAAGGGGGCGGGGAACAGCAGCTCATTTGCATTTAAATTACATATTGTAAAAAGGGGTATAATATGTCACCTTTAAACAATCGCTGGAGGAATTCAGACTCCTGAAGAAAACACAAGCCGAACGGACTGTATTAAACTCTATTTATGGAAAGAAAACAAACTAAACTGCTGAATAGTCCAGGGCATCCTGAGCCGTTTCAGTCCAGCTCTTCTAATCTTACTCATGATACGTATTCTACAGAATAACCAGTTCAGCTTCTTGTTTTAACTGCTGAAGTCTGTTTTTAGAGTCAAACGTGACGTCTAATGTGTAAGTTCAGTGTTTGAGCTCTGGACGTGAGTGATTCCTCACATCATGTGTCATTGAGGAGAATGTGCTGCTACTGCACTAAGTGATCAGAAGAAAGGAAATGTGGTAAATGAGTGTTTGTGTGGTTTATACCTGCACTACGTATCCAGACAGACATTTGAAGTTTGGAGGTTGTGGAGCTCCGTCGATAAGAACCTCTCCAGAGAGACCAGCAGGATCCTTACGAGCAGCTAGAACGTCCAGAAACCTTCAGTAAAACACAAACATCTTTATACAAAACACATCAACTAAAATAAATTTTAAGATAGATTTAATTATATTTAGTATTTTAAAATATACATTATTTTAATATAATTTAAATTTTATTTTATTGTATAAATTTATAATTTTATATTTTAAATGTATAAAAAAATTGATTAAAATAATATATATAGTTTAACAATATTTTTACTTAATTTTACTTTATTATTGGTGACTTAACCATGGAGGGGGACCCGCAGTGTATGTAGATAGAAATGGCTTATTTTAAGGTAATTAAAACATAACGGTGAATTTTGTAAGGTATTTATACACCACTGAAAACATAGTTTTGTATGTTACATTGCATTTCTGTAAACAGATTCTCAAAATTGTTACACATTTGCACCTTTAAGCAATAACTCTTTGCCAGACAGACATACAGAGAGAGACAGACAGACAGACAGCGAGACAGACAGACTGATAACAGACAGACGGATGACAGAGATAGACACAGAGACAGATGGACAGACATACAGACAGAAACAGAGAGACAGACAGACGGACATACATACAGACAGAGACAAACGGATGGACAGACAGAGACAGACGGACAGACAGACAGAGATAGACAGACAGACAGAGAGAGAGACAGACAGACAGACAGACAAAGATAGATATACAGACAGAGACAGACAGAGAGTCAGACAGACAGACATACAGACAGAGAGACAGACAGATGGATGACAAACAGAGATAGACAGACAGACGGACATACATACAGACAGAGACAAACGGATGGACAGACAGAGACAGACGGACAGACAGACAGAGATAGACAGACAGACAGAGAGAGAGACAGACAGACAGACAGACAAAGATAGATATACAGACAGAGACAGACAGAGAGTCAGACAGACAGACATACAGACAGAGAGACAGACAGATGGATGACAAACAGAGATAGACAGACAGACAGATAACAGACAGACGTATGACAGAGATAGACAGAGAGACAGACGGACAGACAGACAGACAGCCGACAGAGATAGACATACAGACAGAGACATATGGGCGGACAGAGAGAGACAGAGAGACAGACAGACATACAGACAGAGACAGACGGACGGATGGACGACAGACAGAGATAGACAGACAGACATACAGAGAGAGACAGACAGACAGATAACAGACAGATGGATGACAGAGATAGACAGAGAGACAGACGGACAGACAGAGATAGACAGAGAGACAGACAGACAGCTGACAGAGATAGACATACAGACAGAGACATATGGGCGGACAGAGACAGACAGACAGACAGACATACAGACAGAGACAGACGGATGGATGGATGGGAAGACAGAGAGACAGACAGATGGACAACAGACAGAGATAGACATACAGAAAGAGATAGACAGACAGACAGATAACAGACAGACGGATGACAGAGATAGACAGAGAGACAGATGGACAGACATACAGACAGAAACAGACAGACAGACGGACATACATACAGACAGAGACAGACAGATGGACGGATGGACAGACAGAGACAGACGGACAGACAGAGATAGACGGAGAGACAGACAGACAGAGACTGACAGAGAGACAGAGATAGACATACAGACAGAGACAGACGGACAGACAGAGATAGACGGAGAGACAGACAGACAGAGACTGACAGAGAGACAGAGATAGACATACAGACAGAGACATATGGGCGGACAGAGTCAGACAGACAGACATACAGACAGAGACAGACGGATGGATGGACAGACAGATGGACAGACAGAGATAGATAGACATACAGACAGACAGAGACAGATATAAAGATAGGTACACAGACAGACAGAGACAGACGGACAGACAGACAGCTCTTACGATGATTTCCCGCTCCCGGTGGCTCCTAATATGGCATTCAGTCCTGGCCTCATGATACCACTAGAGAAAATAGCACAGAATTACTTCATAATTATCATTACCACTTTTTCTTTATCATCATATAATCACATAAAGCAAGATAAAACCAAACACACATGGGATGCTGATTGGATGAGCCTCATTTGAAGCTTTGGAAGACAATTATATTAAAAGTTGTTTGCTTGACTACAGTGAAAAAGAACAACAACAACAAATGCCATCTGACCATATCAAGTGCTCACATGTCACATTTACCTACTAGACTAATGTAAGATGACATAATTCATATTCATGAGATGTTGCTGATTTTTCGGGTGAGGAATCCCCTGATGCGGCCGATCACTGGAGCTCATGTGTCTGATTGACAGATAAAATCATTTAATGAGTTCAGATCAGGAAATAAACAGCTGCAGTCACGCACACTTACACAAGCAGCTGAGTGCACACAGACACACACGGGTTAATGATCAAACCTACCCGACAACTATCCGACTTGCTAACTATGTCTCTAACACTGTGTAAGGGTCACGTACTATGCTTGATCTAAAATGACTTTAAACAACATTTTAAAAATGTTGTTTATTTTATTAGGTAATTGTATATTACATTTGAATATGTATTATATTGATAAATATTTAATATTTTAATAAATATTACATATTTATTAATAAATATGTATTCATATTTAAATATTATATTATTTCATTATGATCACAGTAATGGCCTTACAAAATACAAGATTTAAATAATATGTACATTTTAATAAGAATATTTGCAAAATAATGCAAAAAAGGTCATTCTCATTAGGGTTATTATAGTTCATGAAAACTAAAACCATTTAAAAAAAGTAAATAATATGAACTAACTAAAATAAACTAAAAAATAAAAAAAATAAAACTAAAACCTATTTTATTTCAGCTAGATGGCAAGGCAAAATTTCTCATTTTCATTTACTGTAGTTTAACGTAATAACACTAATGCACTTATGCACTAAAATAACTAAAACTGAAATAAAAAATTAATAAAAAACGTACACAGACATTAAAAAACAAAAATGAATAAAAATGACAAAAACACAACAAAATGACTAAAACTTTAACTAAAATTAAAACGAAAACAGAATGAACAGAAAACATCAAAATAAAAACGAATTCAAAATATTAATAAAAACTATATACAATGATACTAAAATAACATTACCAGGGAAAATATTAATTTATTTTAAATAACTAAAATGAATTTAAATGATTTCATTAAGTACATTTCTAAAAGTACAATTAATAAAGTACCAATTTAAAAGTATCTGATTATAGTATTTACCGTCTAAAAAAATCAAAACAAAAAATAAAGATATTAAAAAGTAGAATGTTTTAAAAAATCCATAAATAATAAAAATACAAATATTCATATTTACATTTTTATGAATACAAATAAAAGTATTGCATTCTGACAGGATACTGTATAAATTTTATACAATTTTCAAGACTGTATTATGGTAATGAGAACAGGATTTCTTTTGCATTTGAGGGATAAATGTGTTTAATCAAGAAAATAAAAAATGCAAAAAAGAAATGAATTAACTAATCTTTATGCAACATACCATTTCTTAATATTTTGATCTTGGAGTGAAAAACGACTCAGGTGTCAGATGTTTCGAGTGAAAAATACTGATAGGTGTAAAATTGGCAGATTATTGTCCTGTCACATGATCCAAATTCTGTAATCCGGTCTGTTAAAGACGGACAGCAAAACGAGACTCTTATCTGAGAGCAGGGCAAAAGTCAAGGTTTGATGGCGCTCATCCATCCACAACCTTTAAATCAAGCACTAAAATAAAGTCACTGCACTGCAACCCTCAGATGTCTCATTTATGCATGTGTTTTCCATCTCATGCCTTGTGAAACTATTGTTCAGCAGCGGCTTTCATGTCGGACAATGACCTGAACGCAGCGGGTGTGAATACGTAACAAAATCAGGTTATGAAAGCGTAAACATGCACGTGTTTGTGTGCTTGTATAACAATGCATTAGCACGCATGTGTTGCCAAGTCTACTGAAGCACGTACAAACGTATGTTTTTTCAGTGCATATTTAGTTTCTTTGGAGGCAGGGCGCAGGAGTTTGTTGAAACATCTCCATACTTCCTTCCATCAATTCACAGAAGTCCTCCCTGGTGGTTTCTACAATCACACAGTGCCTTTAAACACACATTACCCCGCATCACGTCCACACTTATGTTCCCAGACCAACAACCTCGGAATTATCTTCTCTATTTCTTTCTTTACAGCAAATAATAACCATGACTTTCATGCAAGGGCCAAATGTGACAGTTCCTCTCGAAAACTAAAAAACAAGTCTGAGCATGAGATCTGATGCAGTGCTGCTGGTCACCGGGCGAACACAAAAATAAACCACAACTACATTAATAATTATAGTCAAAAAGCCAAATGCAGGAAACATCTGTCAGACAAACCTGCAAAAGTCCTTTATTGAAAAAAACAAACATTTGTATCACTATAAAAACATACATACAAAAACAAGATATTTTAGTATTATAGGGATATTAGAATTTTCATTAATATTTATAATGCTTTCTAAGTAATAATATATAATATTTCTGTATAACATTTTTGTGTTCATTTAAATTTTAGTTCAAGTTTTAGGAATTGTTACGTGTGTTTTTGTCATTTTATAAGTCTTTATGCAATGAGTTTTATATGGTTTAAGGTTTTGTTTTCTTTAACTATAATAACCCAGAAAAGTACAGAAAATATGATAAAAACCATGTACCACTGAAACTCCACAGTACTTTTATATACCATGTTTGATTTTCCTTAAAAAAAAAAATAATGTTGCGGTATTTTCCTCAAGGTATTTTAATGTCACTGTAAGGTATTTCAAAAAATACTATTGCCATAATATTGTATCATATGGTAACTCACTGCTGCTTTAATATATATATCAGAGTGCTGCAATTCATGAAGCATGGTATTTATGTGCTACTCCAAGGTGCTTACCATGGTATTTTTTGAAAAGCCTTACTATTTAAAAAGCATGAGACATGAATGTTGTGATCAGATTTAACAGCACAACACCAGAAGAGTGAAAGACTGACTTGAGCTGGATGAGGATGTTCTTCTGCGTGAGCTTCCTCTTGCACAGGAAGCCGCTTTTTTTTTTTTAAATATGTCTATATAGTTTTTATTAATAATTATAATATAAAAATAAATATTTTTGAATAATACTTAATTTTATTAATATTTTAAATTACTCTATTTTTTTTATATTTTCTGTTTGGTTTTTTTTGTTCATTTTAATTTTAGTTAGTTTTAGTCACTTTGTTGTGCTTTTTGTGCTTTTTATTCTTTTTTTTAATATGTCTATATAGTTTTTATTAAGTTTTAGTTTTTATTTATTTTAGTACTTAAATAAAAAATGAGAAATGTTGCCTTGGCAACTAGCTGAAATAAAATAAGTTTAATAAGGTAAAAATACGTTTTTTTATATTTTATTTTATTTCAAACAATGAAAATTAATTTTTATGTTTTTTATGATTTTTGTCAAATAATCATATTAATATTCATTCAGCTTCAGTGTACCTTGTCATTATGGTTAATTTCCTCCATAGCAAGCACATATTGCTCTTTTAGGTTGTAGTTTTAAGAAAAAATTTAATTAGACCTTAAAATGTAATAGTGATAAATGAGAATATGCAAATTGTCTGAAATTCTGATGAAAAACATTGAAAAATTGAGTCCACTGGGACCAATTCTCACTATTAACTAACTATTAACTACAACTTTTGCCTCAATAAACTCATAATTACTGTTTATTAATAGTTAGTAAGATAGTTCAGTTTAAGCATTGGGTAGAATTAAGGGATGTAGAATATGGTCATGCTGAATAAGCCATTAATATGTGGTTTATAAGTATTAATGAATAGCCAGTATGCTAATATGCATGCTAATAAGCAACTAGTTAATAGTGAGAATTGGTCCCCAAACTAAAGTGTTACCAAAAACACAATGATTTAGTGTAAAAATGATTTTGTTTTACACACTACACAGTTTCTAGTCTTTTAAATAATGACTACATTTCTGTATTATAACAATTATATCAGTTGTTAGCTGGACACAAATGTCACTGTTACCTGGAAATGATATTCTTGCATTTATTGCAGTAAATTTTTTTTTTTTTTTTTTTACTTT